CATGAACAATAACAACAACAACAGTGCCAACAATGTAGATACCAACGCCACAACCCACGGCGCAAATATCACTTGCAAATGGAACATCATCACAAGAAGCAAGAAGAACCACAGCGATGATAATAATAATAATAACGTTAACAACAATAATAATAATAATGTTTTTAAATATTGTAAAAATAATATTAATAATATGTAGTTTATTAAATAAATTAATTCGCGCTTCTCGGCTGAGCGTTGATATTTACCTTAACAACCATAATATAAACAATCTTGCCGTTAAAAATTTAAAAAAAATTTTAAAAATCGCGTTTTATATTGTTTATAGTTATTAAATTTACTTTATTGGTTTTCTGTTTTAATTGAATAATTTATATAAATTAATAATTACTTGTTCCTTTATATCAAATATCTTACATACCTTATATATAATGCACTGAAGATGAGTTATTTATAACTCGAAATAGCAATTTTGCAAATTTATTTAATAAAAATTTTTTAAAAAAACAATAAAATGTCTAATTTTTCGGAAATTAATAAATTAAAAAGAAATATGAAAAAGTTGAACAATGTTGAAAGTAGTGTTGAATTTTTGAAATGTTGCGTTTACAATAGCCTGTTACCAAAAAATATATATATATATATATAAAGTGTGTATTGTGTGTGTGAGTGTTAGTGTATGTGAATAGAAAGCCATAAGTTATCATCGTTATACTTTAGTTTTTTAAGAATAATAAAAAAAATTTCCCGTTAAAAGTTTTCAAGTTTAGAAATTTACACGCTTACTCACATGAAAAAGCAATTAATCAAACGTATCGATTGTCCGTATCTGTTTTTGTATTATATATATATATATATATATATATTTACAATATTCTATATATATATATATTATATACATATACTATATATACTAAATATATATATATATATCGCTAGTTAGGTGACTTCTAAAATTGATATTTTTTATTCATTTTACGCTTAAACCAAATTAGGAACATTTGAAAATATTTAGAAACAGTTTATAAACGTTATTTTTACGAACAAGCAATTAGGAGTTACTATCTGGTTTTTACACAGCAAGCCAACCTAGAGTTATTTAATTACCCCGCAACTATAAATTTAACATCTGCTGTCAGAGTATCCATTTATGATTTCTCCTATTAACTGCCATTATTAATTAATGCTGATAGAAATGTTTACACTTCTATGTAGTCAACTCTAGTTTTAAAGTCTGGTTCACTTTATATTTGTCTTCATAATCAAAACATTTATATCTATTAATGTCATCAATGAATGTTTCGTGTTGTCTTTTCTACAATAGAAATATGATGGCCATTACAAAATCAGTTATCGCGAAACTATTGCGAATGTAATTAACTAACATGTTTGATTTAGAATGGGTCACATGTTAATGATTCATCATTTAAAACTAATCACGACAGTTAGATTTTATCATTAATTCAATCGTTCATTAATTCATTTATTCAATCATTCATTCAATCACTTATTAATTCAATCACTTCTTCATTCAATCATGCATTTAATCGATCAGTCATTTAATCATTAATTCATTCAAATAATCAATCATTCATTAAATCATTCATTCAATCATTCATTCAATCCTACATTCATTCATTCAATCATTCATTCATTCATTCATTCATTCGTTTTATTTGCTCTGATCAAACATAAAAGTATCTTCTTAATAAAACACCACTAACACAAGAAAAATGCAATTGGGTTTGTTAATAATTTCAAAACGTGTTTGCGATGAGGTAGCACTTATCGGCTGGATTCATTTTCCTGCCCGGTGAACAGCCGTAGATCTTCGCCAACCCTTCAAAGTTCATCAGCGGTAGATTGACTCTTCGTGGAAAAACATTTTTTCCCAAATATTAATTTCTGGTTAATTACAACGATTTAACATTGTGTAGACATAATTATAAATATTATAGCACTGTTTAGGAATCAGCAATGACAGAAACAATAAATGTAAAAATACTGAAAAAAATGAAAAGTTATTTTGTTAAATACCTGGCTGAAGCGTTCTTGAAATCAGAATCTTCAGGATCGGGATAGTTGCACCACGACTAAAATTGGAAAGCAGATTGGAAAGCAGTCAAATTTATTCGGGAATATTAAAACTGATGGTGGTAAAATTTTTGTTGTTTTGTTGTTATTAACTTATAAACAGTTCGTAAAATATATGTATTTTTCATGCAAAATCCACATCAGAAAAATTTCCATATTGGCGTGTTCTAACTTGCGAGAAAGCATACAAAAAAATCTTGATGTGGTTGTTTCCAACAAACCCTGGAAGTCTCTCCTCAAATTGGTTGGCTTTCAACCATTGGCTGTATGCCTGACAATATCATGCAAAAAGTAAAAAAAAATTAATTTTATATCCTTTTTTCCAGAACGATAAATTTTTAAATTTTCATGAAACGAACCAAAAGAGCTAGTTTAATAGAGATAGGATCCATGAAATTAACATTCACCGTGCTGTTGGGACTGTCTGCCTGATAAAATGTTACCAACTGAGACGATGAGATTTTTTAAATCAAACCATTATACAAATGTTGTTTAAATAAGGGACTGATTAACATTTGTTTTTAAAATATACAATTGTGTCTATAATAACCTTTCAAATTATAACCTAGATCATCAGAATAATGAAATATTTCAAATTACCTAAACCAATTATTTACTAAATTTTATAATTCTAAAAAAGGTGGCTACGAACCGGTAGATTGAGGTAAGTCTTCCTGTAGGAATCATACTGTTGCGCCAAGCAACTATCCCTTTTCTTAAACATTTCCTCAGTTTCATTAGACACCCACCCAACGAAATTCCCATTAGAATCAAATTTCTTACCTAAATCGAGTTTCAATGTGCAGTTTTGAGAAGAACTCATTTCGTTATTTTGATTTAGATTATAATTGGAAATTTGAATAACTGTTTAGGTGATAATATCTTTTCTAAAATTTGTGTGAAAACCGATTCGAAAAAATTTTTATTATTTACAAAACGTCTACACAGTAAAATATTCAACGTGTTATTCATCCAACCTAAATCTACTAGATCCTGGGTGAGAATGTTGGCAACGATGACTCCAGCTGATCCGAATGTTAACGACCTTATTTGATAGATTTGTAGAGTTTAAATTTTAATATAATAGCTTTGCTAACAATTGTTGTTTAGTAATTTAAATGAAATTGTTTGAAATAACAAAATTGCATATATTGGGAAACAAATAAGTGTTTGTTTGTTTTTTTGGTTAACATCTAACCAAGGATTTGCGGAACGGAAGAACAGAGGTTGGAACAATCCAATCGTCATCACTGCAGCAAAGTGATGGAATATTCAAAGTTAATATTAATTCTTTTTTATTTATAATGTTATTATTAACTATTTTATTATAATTTTAGTTATTATTTATAATTATTTATTAATTATTATAACAAACATTTTATTGAACATTAAAAAAATTTTTATCAAATTTTTTATTTAAAAATCAGTTTATAATATTTCTCAAATCACCCATCTTGTCATCTGATCGAAGGGAAGTTTGCGTGATTCCAGCTGGAGAATTCTCATATCTGATAAAAAATAATACATCATCATATGATCGTAATATCACGTCTAACAATCTTACATCACCATGACACCATACACCAGATTGAAACATCCGAATGAAACACTCGACTCACATGAAATATAAATCAGTTAAAAACTAATCTTATATTTGAATGAAATTGAAATTGAAATCAATATAACATAGAGATTTCGAAACTAACTCTACCACAGGATCATTAGTGCCGATTGCTTGGAGTGTCTTGTTCAAGTTGAATGCTTTTATTTGTAGAAGGTTACGGTAAAATTTTGAGTTGGAGAGTTTCAACTGAAAAATTTGAAGAAAGGTTGTTTATCTGTTTAAATGTGATTGTATTAGACATTGAATCCAAATCTTCAATGAAAAAACTGCAAACAACTGTTTCAAAACTGGTTTTTGAAAGTGAAAGGAAAAGCTTGCAAATTAACATTAACAGAACAGAGTGCATGGTTATCAGTAAAAGCAAAACCGCCCCGATCTGCTCCATAGTCATTAATGGCAAACAGGTGAAACAAGTTAACAGCTTCAATTATCTCGAAAGTCTGATTACCTCATGTTGTAAATGTGATATGGATATCAAAAGAAGGATAGCTATGGCGAAAGATGCATATTCTAAAATGAAAACATCCTCACCAACAGTAAAATTAGAATTTCAACAAAATTTAAACTGTTACGATGTTACATTTTTCCTGTGCTAACTTATGGCTATGAGTCTTGGACAATTTTTAAAGAAATAGAAAAAAATATTAACGCTGCTGAGATGTGGTTTTTGAGAAGAATTATGAAAATTAGTTAGAACTCCCATACTTCGAATGAAGATGTATTAAAACAGTCCGGTTATGAAAAGAGGAAATTACTACAGATAATCCGACGGGGGCAGTTAAAAATTTTGGTCACACCATGCGGAAGGCAAGAATGGAAAATCTATTAACTACTGGAAAGATTGTTGGGAAAAGAGATCGCGGTCAACAACGAACAACATTTGTGAAGTCCTTGTGTCACTTGTTGAATATCACCCCATTTCAAGTACTACAAAATGTTAAGGATCGGGTTGTGTGGAAGTCAATAGTTGCCAAAGTCCTGAAAGGATAAAGCACAAGAGAAAAGAAGTATTAGACATTTTTTTAAATAAAAACATATGCATTTTTTAAATAATTTAAATGTAAATAACGAGTGGAATGGATATGGAATGGAATGGACCTACGCTTTCATACATGACATCCACGTCTTGGTCACTTAGGAAGAAAATGTTGTGGCCGATTATCTCAATGGCTTCTACCTAGATTGAATTTGTGTTGAATTTAAAACAGATACTTTCAACATGACAAAATGTTAACACAAACGTTCATTCGTAACAAATGGGATGCTCTATTAAAGGTAGAATCATGCAATTGCTCAACCGCTCTTCTGAATTATTCATAAAAATTTTGAGTGTAAAAAAAGTCAACCCACTCTTTCTCTCTCGGTTTTCAGATTTTTCTCATCAGCCCACTTGATTTTTGACAAAAAATCGAGGTATTCCTTACGCATGTAGTTAATCAGAACTGACATCTTACGATTACAAATTTTAACTTCACTTAACAGTCAATGAATCGTCGTTTTTTCATTAAATATATTTTGACGTTTTTAGTAAATTTATAAGAATCGTTTTAAAAAATGCTAAACGTCAATAAAAAATGGATTAATATTCAACAACTAAACTCACGTGATCTTCATCGCCATACCGCCAAACTTTCTTGATCAAAATTTTACTCATGGCCAATGGGAAGAGTTTCTTCGTCAGAGTGTAGCAGAAGGATGAGTTTCTTTCCAAAGTTGCATTCTCTGTCTGGATAAATTACAACTCGATGCAAACGCGTAAGTTGATTTCAGCGGCCAATTTTATGCATAGTTTTACAGGTATAACCAAATCAAAACATCAATCTTCCTATGATTCGTTGTGTATATTTTTTTTCAAGGATTCAAAATCAATTTTACTTTTTTAAATGAGCCAACGTCTTGCAAGCTGGTCATCAAAGCCATCCATGTTATGTACTGTACCTGCTCACTTCATTTCCACGGTTATTTTCAATTTAGTTTATGATAAGCCTCACGCCATAGTATTCATAAGTAAAACAAAATGATACAGTTAATCAGCGAATTTAACAGAAAATCTTAAACAAAGATTATAATAACAGGCTAAGATATAAATAATTGGTAATTAAATAGAGTTAACAATTCAGTTTAAAAATGATAAGCAAATAAACTACAAACCCCATTGAGGTTCCAACAAAAAAATTTGAAAGCTTCAGAAAAAATTCTTTCGATTCAACTCCAATATATTTCTCCGACATATCAACATCCATCAAGATCTTCAAATATTTTGCCCAATTCAACTGTGTACATGTTTTTTAACATTAAGTGTTTGTGTGTGTATGTGCGCGTTTATATATATATATGTGTGTGTGTGGGTGTGTGTGTGTGGTGTGTGTGCGTGTGTTTTCGTCCATCTATGCGTTTTTTAAGTTATGCTGTTGCGTCTGTTCTCGCCAAAAGTTTGTATTTATAGTGCTTAATAAAGTTACAAATGTCCCTCTAATTGATTGACTATAAATTAATGTACAAATTTGATTGAAAATATTTACAGCACTGCTTATATTATGAAGATTCGTCACCGTTGTGTTTTCAACGTTCGTTTTTGGCACTGAACTAATCTGTTAAGGATATGAAATAAAATTAGTTATATCTGATATAAACATTATATGAATAACAAATAAAATTTTTAAAAATGTTTAAAAATCTCTAATGAATACTGTTAACACACTACAAATTTAAAAAATACATGCCTGGTTGTCCTTCTATAAAATATGTCTATACAATTATTTCGCAAATTTAAAAAAAACGATTGAGGCATGATTGAAATTTTAGAATAACTTGGAAGTTACATCAAGCAGTGTCCTGTGAAGCTGCTTCACTCTCTGCAGTGTTTCTGCGGTCAGCGAGTATCGTTCGAGGATTCCTTCCATGAAAGGAGAAGTGAGGTCCATGTCAAATAATTGATCGGCTTGCAGGATACGGCGGTTTGGTCCCAACTATTTTTCGGTGTGAAATTTTCAATCAAAATAACTTTTAAACATTTTGTCAGAATTATATGCTGAGCTTTTGTTTATAATAACTCCAATCAAACATTACTGAAAATCATTGCAAGTTTGTTGATTGCTTTTGATAACAAAAAAGTTGCGGATTGCTCATTTCTACATTTGAATATAGTTCGTACAACGGTGTGTCTGTAATTGTAGGCTTTGCAAATAATTTATCAGGTATTGCATTATTTAATGTTATCAGGCAAGAATTTGTTAACATTTCGATAACAAGTTGTTGCTGATATTATTAATTATGCTTGATAACAATTTTTGCTGCCTCATTGTGGCTATTTAAAAACTTGATTCAATTTTAGTTGAATGTACGATAATATGCAGCAATTATTCTGTACTGCTAAACTAAAAAACGCAATAATAAAATGACTATAGATAGTTTCAATGATATATAATAGAGAGAAGTATTGAAAATAAGGTGAGGATATTCTAACGAACGATGATCTGGTTGACGCTTGATCGCCTGTTCATTGGCTTCACGCTCAACTTGAAAAAGACATCCACATCAAAAATTTTCTTTATTTGAGCTAGGATGCTCTCAATCAATGGAGGTGACGATAAGGAAGATGAGGAGGGTAAAATTTCTTGCTTTGGAAATGAAGTAATCTCTAGCAGCTTATCCAAAACGACATCCAACTTATAATCGCTTTCATCTGAAGACAAGAAGAATGTTAGCCGGTCATCAACAAGAAATTTGGAATTAAGAAATATTAAAAAAAGTTTAACAATAAAATGGTTTTGTAAAGTTATCTCAGTCAGTCATCATGGGTCAACTCACCAGGATTAAGACATGAAACATAGAAACTGTTGATATGCCTCATGTACAATAACTTGCTGTTTTCTCGGCGGGAATCTAGCAATGCTGTACGCACAATTTTATGATGCCTTTCAATTTTTATTCAAATGAAGCCATCGCAATATGTACAACAACATTGTATGAATATATGTGTACGTGCATATCTGCGTTGTGTTTTCAGAATGTGTAGAAAAAATCATTTTTTGATAGACCTAGATTAAGGAACTTAAGAAGCAGAAATGAATAAGATATGATTATAAAAAAAAACCAACTTTGCACTTTTTGATTGATGAACTCCAGCTGATCGACAAAGAACATTTTGAGGTAGTCCGTGTTATTGAAGATCTTGGAGTTCCACTTGCCACACGTGTGCACGAAATAATCCTCACACGACATTCCCATCTTCAAAGATTTAAATATCCTGGCGGCTTATTTTATAATCATTGACGTTAATAGGTTAATAGCAACACTTACCGCTCTGGCTAACAAGACGCATAAAAAACTTCCATTACATTTAATGCCTTTAACTTCCTGGAATCTTTTTGCATTCGATCCAGGTCAATGCAAAAATGTGGCACCACGTCAAAATTATTATTAATTTTATCATTGTTATTGTTATATTATATCATTATTTTAACCAATATTGTCTGGTTATAAATTATTGTAGGATGGGGTTTGGATTTTTAGATATTCAACGTTAAGTAAAATTCAGAAAACCAATTTTCAAAACATTTTACATTTTTTCTAATCTATAAACTTTTATATTTAAATAAACTTTATTATTTTTTTTTAAATTAAAAAGAAATTGATACGATTTCAAAAATTATTTCCACCGGTGACAGCGCATTCTGGCGTTGGACAGATAGGAGTGATATCTGATGGATGATGAAACATTCAATAATAATAATAATAATAATAATAATTATTATTATTATTATTATTATTATTATTATTTAAATAAATAGATTAAATAGGATTTTATAATTATTATTATTATTTAAATAAATAGATTAAATAGGATTTTATAATTATTTTATTTCATTATTAATATTTGGTATTTGGAGTTAGAAAATAAAAGGATTATTATTATTATTGTAACGACAGTATATGTAGGTTGTGTCAAAAGTAGAAGAAGCATGTCAACCACATTGTAGCCGGATGCACAATACTAGCGCCAAAGGAATGTAAGCCTCGACACAATGGGATCGCTAATTATCTTCATTGGCCAATACTGAAAGAACTTGATCAAAATGTCTGACCGCTGGTAGGATCATCACCGGACTGAAAAAGTTGTCGAGTTTGACAAAATAACACTCACGTACGACATGGCTATAAACACCGATCGTAGTATTGGGGCTAACCGACCAAATATGATACTCCAAGATAGAAGTAACAAAAAATCCCCACTTATCGATGTTGCGGTCCCCAGTGCCACACGAATGTTGCTACAAAAGAAGTGGAAAAACTAAGAAAATATAGAGACCTTGAGATGGAGATTTCACGTATGTGGAACACAAAAACACGCGTGATCCCAACAGTAGTTGGTTGGGGCATTGGGAAATATTACGTCAGGGGCTGCAGAAACATCTCGATGAACTGCCTGGAGAGAAAAGTGTTGCACATGTGCAGGAGATAGTCCTACTCGCTACAGTCCACATACTTCCAAAGTTTTTAACAACAGGAAACTAAAATCCTACATCCCAGGAATCAGGTGGACTTCCGGTAGATGCCTGAAAAAGTGTCTGAGGAAAATAATAATAAAAACAATAATAATAATAATAAAAACAACAAAAACAACAATAATAATAACAATAAAATGATGACGGTGATGATTATAAAAAAAGCAGACTCTGTTTTATGTAAGGAGTGGTGCTGATGATGGCGATGAAACCGATGATGCAAAGGCAGAGGAGTACGTTGAAGGAAAAGAGCAGGAAAACCCTCTGCCAGGCTATCGGGGCATGCAACTCAGCGCCCACCACCTCCTGCTGCGGTTTGCGTAATATTATTTTTAATTATTTTGAAAAATTATTATTATTGTTGTTGTCGATGTTGTTGCTGTTGTTGATGATGTAGATGCTGTTGTTGTTGTTTTGTTGTTGATGTTGTAGATGTTGTTGTTGTTGTTGCGTTGTTGTTGTGTTGTTGTTGTGTTGTTGTTGTTGTTGTTGTTTTGTTGTTGTTGTTGTTGTTCAAGTCCATTAATAGATCTTTACCATTTCAAACAAATATTAATTTCAATTATTTATTTCATAAAATGTTTCACTCGAATTGTTAATTTCACTGGAAATCACTTAATATTTAAAAATTTATTTTTGGGTTTGCTTTAAACCAAATGGAGATGTTTATATAATGACATTTTAAATAAAATTTCATCTACCTACCGCTTGTTCTGGAGGTTTTTCTGATTTTTCTTCATAAATCATCGTTGACTGTGAATGAACGTAGAAGATTTTTCAAATTAAATAAACTACAAGCTAAATATATTAAAAGTAGATTTTAAGGAAAGAAAAAAATTGTTAAAGCACGCTGTGCAAGTAAGGCGCAATGAGCAAAACGTCGTTAAAATGATTGACAGCTAAAAAAATTGACAAACAACTGAATAATCTCCGTGTAATTATTCAGTTTTGTGCGCGCGATCGTTTAAACGCTGCTATTCTCATCTGAATTATCGATTCAAATCGTAATCTCATCCTCTTTATACGCAACTCTCGTCTTATGTGTATCAAATTACATTACAAAAATTTTTTCTTGAAGACTTTCTTTGCGAATTAACAACTTTTTTTCATAAAAAGGTAATGATTATTTTTTAATTTCGTCTTGCTATTTAATTTTCCAATTAATTTTTTGCATACATTACCAATACTTTTGAACGGTGTAAAATTTTTTAGAATATCCATGAACTGAAAAACCATTTAGCTTATTCAGAAGGGCCTTAACTTGTGCATAGGCACTATTCAGTGCCCCAATGTCAAATACTTTTTTGATGTTTCGAATAAAAAAGAGACATTCCTTTAGTTATAACCGAAGTTGTACGTCAACTTTTGAAAAATTCAAAACTCTTCCCAGACATGCTCACCCAAAAGAAGGGCGTGAACGCTGCACACTCTTATTGAATGCATGCGTTGAACATTGAATCATGCATTGATAAATAAATAAGCACAATATTAATATATAGCACTACAAATTTACATGTTTACAATTACAATTTACAAGTTACAATAAAAAATAGAAGAGTGAGTGAATGAATGAGTGAGTGAGCGAATGAATGATTGAACGAGTAATAAAAGAATTAATCATCTTCATCGTCATCTTCATGCTTCCCATCGTCCTGTTTTTCGTTACCAAAAAATTCTTCCTCACAAATGCCAACAACATTAATGTGAATTTTCAATTTTTCGGCTTACCTTTCAGTGGAACAATTATTTTTGATTGTCAACTAATAGGCGTCTGCTTTTTCAA